ACCTTAATGCAAAAACATTGTTTTTGACTATTTGACTTATTTTTATTGACCTGCTTTAAAAAAAAAAATTACATTGTTTTTGACCTATGTGATGTTACACAATTATCACAAAAAAAAAGTCTATTGTCAGGATTATATATATACATCTTTAATATTTATTGCATTATATTATGATCTCTATATGTATTTAAATAACAAAATAAAATAAATTGAAGAAGTTTAAGTGACTATACAGTTGTAAGATAAGAGAAAAAATTATTTCTTAAAATATATAAATTTTAAATATATTATATTATATATATTACAACAATATGATGCATTTGTATTAACTACTTAATTACAGTATATTCATTTACAAATTTTCATTCAGCATTGATGACTCCAATTTGGCCATTTGCTTTTTCTTATTTTTTTCTCTATCAAACTATGTAAATAATTTCTTTTTATTTTGTTTAGCATTATCATTTAAATGAATATTTCATTCAATGCATGCTTTCACAAATTCATAATGTTTTCAATTAGTTCACTTTTCTGTAAAGAGTTTTTTAAGTTCAAATTGTATGATTGCTTTGTTTGATAATGTTGTATTAATGTTATCTTCATGTTGAATAGACTATTTAAAGAACTAAAATTAATACACTATGCATATAATATTTATTACTTATTAATATGATTTAAATTATCTTTCTTGAAATATTATGTTTGTGATTACAAATCATAACTGTTCTTCATTTTTGAATTGATAGGGCTAATAAACTTGATCATTTATTTGAGCTATCTGTTAAAACTTCATTTGATCTAAATGCAACAGATGCTTTTAATTTACTATTAAGTAGCATTGTATCATTATTGCTACTGTCTAAATAATTCTATATAATATTTATATTTATAAATTAAAAAAGTAAAATATATCAATACAAAATTTAAGATTAATTCTTATCATTATACTTCTTTATCACAATTCATGGTATTTGTTAAACTAGCTGATTTTTGTGGCTTAGCACCATAAATTTTAGGAGCTCCAACTTTTGAAATTCTTTAAGTAGGCATTTTCAACAGGCCAAAATAGATCTTTTTCTATAATTTTATGATCATATAGAAAAAAAAATCATTTTCTTCTGTTAAATAAGTTCAAAGAATCTTCTTAAATGCAGCATTAGTTAAGCTACTATATATAATAAGATTTTTTTGCTTTTTTGGCATCACTCACTCCTTATTATGAAAATATTGTACAAGTTCATTTTTGACAATATCTAATGTAGTTTTATTATTCTCAATGTCATTAAATAAACAAGTTGCATAAACATGTTTGTATACATTTTAAAAGAGTCCATTCTATATGAAATCAAAACATGTACACTTCCCTATAAGAATATTAACAAGATAGTAATTTTTTTGTTGCACAACAGAATGTTTAGATACAAATTAATTTATTATTGGCTAAAGTAATTGGTATAATTCTTTTCCAATATCAAATTTTTCTTATAGTATATAGTGACCAAAACCTGCTACTTTCTTTTTTTATATAAAAATATGTATCTGACTTTTCAAATGCAGGTTTAACTAAATGAAGTAAAACATATAGACATTTCTGATTTAAGCCTTTTTTTATATTTATTAGTTGCTTAAATTGTAATGTCTGATGTTCTATAATTTAAGAATTTCAATATATTACCTAATCAGCTTCAAATACTAATTGTGAAGATGTTTTTTTAATAATATTGTCATGTGTTAAAGTAATATTATATAATCTCTTAACAAAGGATTAATTAGCTAAGTACCTACATGTTAACCCTCAATAGACTTATTCATTCATTCTATAAGATTATTAGTTGGTATAGGTTTAACATCTAGTGTATCATTTAAAGATAGCATTCAACCATTATCAATAAAACAATTAATCCATTCCTCAGACAACCAGTTTGAAAATAAATCATTACACAAAAATTCTTTTGCAATTTCTATAAATAATAGAGATTTAATAAAAGATTTATAAGCCTTACTAAGCTTTAAGGCTTCTTTTTTACTTTGACTTCAACCTACTAGTTTAAAGGCAATAGCAATTAGATATTAGAAATGTTCATTAATTCTTAAATTTTTAAAGTGTTCAGTAAATGTTTGCATTATATAAAACTAACATAAAATTACATTATGCAGTATAGATTGAAGTTCTTGCTTTGTTGGTTGATGCTTATCAATCATTGCAAATAGTCACTATGGTTGTATATATTGACAGATTCTTATAAATCCTTTACTATTTGGTAATTCTATATAACTATACTCATGCATGTAATCGATTTTGTTACATGAAATATTTTATTAAACAGCTTTTACAACAAATCAAATAGTATAGTTGTTTTCCTTGTTTAAAATTTTAAATACAATTGGAGTTTCATAGCCCATATTGTTCTCAACAACTAGAAATAAAATTGATACTCTGTTACTATTTAAATCATACTTGCTGTCAATTCCAAAGCAGAAAGAACCAAAGTCACATGCCTGTTGAAGCTATAAGTTGTTATTCAAGATAAGCTGATAATAATGTTGTGAATTGTCTTTAGGTACAAATATATTTGGTTGTTGATACTATAATATGGCACTCTTTTCTCTTAATATACTGTTACTAATTTATGTATAATTAACTATAGGCCTACAGTTATTTTGCATATAAGTTATCTCTTTCAATAACTTTGCAGAAACTTCAAATTTTGCTAAATATATTTATAATATAATTATTATATTATTATTATATTATTATTATA